GTAGGTGTACACCTGACATGCACCTCCCCAGAAATGTAACTACACATCGCTGCAACAAAGACCTCCTGTCTGTTTTTTTCTCTAAGCTGAAAAACATTTCCCTTCGTGGAAAGGAAGCTTTTATTTACTTTTGTTTCACAGATAAGGAACAATAAATTGTGAAAAGCCTCCATAAAATAGTAAATTTTAATTTTTCTTATGTGTCATTTATTTTGACTTCATATGAGCAGAGGAGATCTCCACTAGCCACTAGGTTAATTTATATGATATAAAATACCATAGGCTTGCGCTAATAATATTAGCATATTGTATTTTTGGGGGAAAATGTGTCCAGCAAAAGACAAGTACTTTGTGAATGCTGCGAGTTATAGTGAAGCCAATTTGTGTACTTGTGTTTGAAATTGTCACTAGTGAGTCATGTTTAATATGTGTTTTCAGTGTGTTTTGCATCAACTTAACAGCATTTAACAGAAACCCCACCACCGACGAGTGATTTGGAGGTGTAACTGCAGAGTGACAGACACACTACTGCTATAGTATAAATGCTCACAACAGCGTAGGCAATGTAGGCTACAGTGTAGGCTCTGTACAGAGCTGACACACAAGTATAAATCCGCCTTTATCATGGATTTGACTGTGTGCTGCGATTGGCTGGATCTCATAATGTTAACGCGTTTGGGTTGGAAGTGGTTAGGATGAGGGCAAAGAGATCATAGTTATGGCTAGCACTAGTCAATCTCAGATATTTTATGAGATTAAAGTGGTGCATTTATGAGAAAAAACTCACAAAAGACCACCAGATGGTCAGGTAATTAAAAGAGTGACACAGTCCACATCTGGGTGCTAACAGCATCTGACTTCAATAAATTCACATCTGAATTCTGGGTTAAATTTATTTTTTAATCTGGTGCCATGTTTTCTTCTCAGCACCAACGACAAAGCGTTTGGAAATCATTACTGTTACGATTTTTCGGCTCTGAAAAAAGAAACATGATTTCTCAGAAGTTAGGGCTGAAATATTTACAACTAGGGGCTGTAATATGAACCCATGATCATAACATTATCCAGGAGGAAAGCATGTGTCTGTTTTAATGCACATTGAGGACATGATAAATAGAAAATTTAAAATGGAAATATAGTCAATTTTTGTCTCTTTGTAGCTAAAAGACGAACCTGAACGGTACATTTCCCATTATGAGGTCTCCTATGGAAAGGTGCTGCTCTACTTCAATGAGGTGAGGCAGAAATCTTTTTACATACAGACAAATTTTACATATCCAGTACTAAAAGATATCTTCTCTTGCTCTAGCTCTTTGAATCAGAGGAATGCATTAGTTTTGATGCTATACAGAGAGTACCAATTGGCCTTCTACAGCCCGCTCCAGCTGTGTTCTATGATTATTATGAACCAAGTAAGCTTTTCATTTCATATTTCTGCAATTTTTTAAAATTATTTTGTCACGAAAGAGGGGACGTTTGGATAAGTTACCAGGCATTTATGAACTATTCGTGCTTTCCTTGCAGACAGAAAGTGTACCGTGTTCTACTCTGCCCCACAAAGAAGCAATGTGGTCTCCAAACTGTGTTCAGAGGATGTGTGCCAGTGTGCAGAAAGTAGGCCATTACTCTGAGATCCATACCGACAAACACCTGTTAATAAATGTAGCTTTACCTTTCAGGTTTGTGTAAAGAATTTAAATTATCATATTCATCTTTCCTTTAGGACCCTGTCACAAAATACAAAATACATTTCAACTGGGAAGAGGTCAAAGCATCACAACGAATCACCGTTTACAACATGCTTGCTTCTACCCTACAGTAGATTACGGTCAGTACTGCACACAAGACGTTATGGTGTAAACTTATATTACCTTGACTATCAAAATCGCAAACCTTTACTTTCATATAGTGACACATTGTTTTATTTCAGCATACATTGTTGAAGTCCTCAATGTTTCCATGAAGAGTAACTTTGAGCTGTACAAAATTAAAGTAAATGAGGTCCTCAGATCCCGTAAGTAAAGCAGATGCTGTAACACTGAACTTTTATTGTTTATGCTTAGATGATCCATCTTAACATAATGACAATCACCTGTTTGCCAGATGAAGATATCCATGTGAGTGAGAATTCTGTTCGAGTGTTTGCTAAGAGGCGTCACTGTAAAGGACATCTTGAACTGGGAAAACAGTATCTCATCATGGGCAAAGATGGCTCTACAACCGACTCATATGGAGAGTAAGTATCATCAGTAATACTAATAAAAGTACAATTTTACACTGACTATTTCAATTTCTGTTCATTCTCTCCCTCTTTCTGTAGGATGCAGTATCTGTTGGAGTCAAACACCTGGGTTGAAAGAAAGCCTTTGGAGAAAGGATGCAAAAAATCTGCACGTAAAGCTGCCTGCGCTGGGTTTAATACATTTACAGATGATTACAAGATAAATGGCTGCAGACAGTGAAACAGACAAATCTGTTTAATATGACTTACATTTTCAGTTTAGATTTAGAGTTTAGTTTAGAGCTCTTTTTTCACCTTGTATACTCATAGTCATTATAGTGAAACAACATGAATACACACATACTGCTTACACAGATCAACATGGGAATTCATTAAATGTCATGGAGCTGTGTGCAAAAGAAGAGACTTCATTTAAACTGTTGTGAAAAAGTTTGACTTTGCAGGACCCGTACTGGATTTGTTGACGTTGATTATTAATGGCATTTATAAGGAACATTTTAGCACAGAATACAGATGAAAATGTGTTATCATCAACAAATTTGTCTTTTAGCCTTTAAAATGTAGGTTTCTCAATTCAAACTCTCTTTTCTTACTTCACATTAAATTTCCAGACCCTGGACATCGACTTTACAATTCCTTGAGTTCTCTTTGGTAGGGGGTGGTAATGCGAGGCCGCATCAGTGGACTGACACTTTTACATTTTCTGTAAAAAGCTTAAACTGATTTAGGTGTTAATATAATATAATTTTGAAGAAAGAAGTAAACTAAACACATGGAGCTCTTGTTAGGATTAGACGAAATGGAGGCTGACAGAGATGTTCCTTCCATGTGCCAAATATGTCTTTGGATTATACAGGGCCTTTAATTATGTGTATAACTGTGTGTACACTTTTGCTCAAATTCAAAACAACAAAACTCAACAGCTCTAGTTCTTGTACAGCAAAATAAATTCTTCCAAAAACCTTGATATGGATGTTTATTGGTGTTAATATTAACCCCAGACCTGTAAGAGTGAAGTAAAGTTTCTATAAAGATGTAACAATATAATGCATTTACACACAGTTTTGGTTTATTCTAAATTTAACTAAACTAGAATTGCTGCCTTGCACTTGAATGCCTCTGTGAACCTGTAAAGTTGCACTTATAGTTCAAATCCATGTCTGTGAAAACATGAATGCTCCACATACATCTTCAACCTGACAGCACAGAAGATCTATACAATAGGGCTGCCACTAACGATTATTTTCATTGTCGACTAATCTGTTGATTATTTCTTCGATTAGTCGACTAATCATTTCATCGAAAAATGTGTTAAAATGTTGAAAAATGTCTGTCTCGCCCAAACCCCCAAATTACGTCATCTAATTTCTTGTTTCATACGCATGCCAAAGGGTTTTAGTTCACTGTCACGGGAGAGTGTGTAAAGCTGCCAATATCTGAACGTAAGAAGCTGCAATAAGAGTATTTTAGGGTACTTTTATAGTACTTTTCTATGAAAAATGACTCAAACCGATTAGTCAACTACTAAAATAGTCACTGATTATTTTAATAGTCGATTAGTCACCGATTAGTCGACTAATCGTGGCAGCCCTACTATACAATCAACACAGTTTTACAGTGGGCATCCAAGATTAGTGTTGCCAATTCAGTGCCCAACAAAATGTCTCCCCTTATTTTCTTGAGATATGAAGTTAAGTAATGGCCAAAAAAAGTGTTCATGCAAAACATTATAATGTCACAGTAAAGATGACTTTTGACCTTTTGTCACTTCATCATTATAGCCTATCAGACATTTATGTGCAGTTTTGTCATATTAACATAAATTCTTGAGTTTTGGCCAAAAACATGCTTTGTGAGGAGGTCACAGTGACCTTGACCTTTGACCACCAAAGTCTAATCAGTACATTCTTGAGTCCGAGTGAACGCTTGTGACAAATTAAGGGAAATTCCGTGAAGGCCCTCTTAAGATATCACACTCATGAGAATGAGACGAATGCATGGTCACAGTGACCTTGACCTTTGACTGCAAGATTCTGATCAGTACATTTTTAAGTGGACGTTTGTGTCAAATATGAAGAAATGCCCTCAATGTGTTCTTAAATATCGCGATCACGAGAATAAGACAGATGCAAGGTAACAGTGATCTTGACCTTTGACCACTAAAATCTAATCAGTTCATCACTGAGTCCAGGTGAACATTTGTACCGAATTCGAAGGAATCCCCCAAGGTGTTCTTGACATATCACCTTCACAAGAATGAGACAGACAAGGTCACAGTGACCTTGGCTTATGACCTATGACCGCTACAATCGGATTAGTTCATTGTTGAGTCCAAGTGGACATTTTTGCCACATTTGAAGAAAACTTGAAAACATAGTGCTTCCAGCCACAACTGTCACTGGTCTAGAATAAAATTTAAAAAAATTACACCCATACAATAGGTTACAAAAGTACAAGTAAACTACATCGGAAATTTATGATCTGTTAAACAAGCAGCTTTAGTTACAACTACCAATACACAAAGAGCCCAGACTTTGGGAATTGGGAAAAATCTGTCTGACTCAAAGTGACCGATGAGCGAATGGTTCCACATTGTGTAACAAAAATACTTTTTTTTTTTAGTCTGATATGCATCGGGCAGTTAATCATAATCTGATCTGTTTTGTTGTCCTCATGTTTCATATTAATCTGTTTAGACTGTGTACTTTTATGTATGTAGTAATTTACATACTATTGAACTAAAGAGTATGTCACACATCTGTACACATCAGTATACATGTTATATCTGATAGTATGATAATTTTCTCAATTTAATTACCAGTTAGCACATGCTACATGAGCCATCACTCATGACATGAGTGATACTTCTTTGAAAAAAAAAAAAAAAAAAACAGAGGGAGGGCACTGAGAGATCCAATGATTGAGAAATACAGGGGCGGGTAAATACCAAAATCTCAGTTAATGAGAAGCTGGTGTCAGAGCAGGTAAAGAAACAGGAGCTGCACAATGGAGCGCTACGTCTTTTCAATACTGCTCCTGATCTTGACTGAGGGATCAGCTTCTTCAATGGACGATGGGTAAATGTAGAACTAGCTGCATGAATCTACATTATGTAAAAACTGAATGTGATGCCAACCTTTCTGTGTTCAGTGCAAAGAGGGTTAATATAAGCTGTTTTATAAGATTTTATATTCTTAAACATAATAATCAACATGTTTTCAGCAAATGTTATGGGATTATGACATTTACAATGTAATTAGATGAAATATGCAGGATTGCAGATGTTTATAGGCACAGAAGCCGATGAATGCAAAATATAGTAGTGAAGGATACAGTACATGTTATTTTTCACCTTTGTGTGCAGATTCTTAATCTCAGCCCCTGGAGTGTTTCATGTGGGTGTTAACGAGAAAGTGTTTGTCCAGATGGGAAAGACTTACCTCAACATTCCTGTTACTCTTTACTTGGAGCATGAAACTAGCGCTACAATAGTGTCCCAGAAGAAAACCACTCAATGTACTGTGGAAGGAGAGGCCAAAACAGTTGAGCTCATGGTATGAGACATTTCATCACTAGACTTGTGCCTTTTTTCAGGTTTAACCGGTTCGATCCGGCTTAAGAGCCCCAGTCGGTTTAATTTACGGCAACCGGCGAAAGTGGGGAAAAATTTTAATTTAATTTTTAATTTAATTTTATATACTTTATTAATCCCCGAGGCAATTTTTCACTCTGTTTGTCAATTACACACAGGTCCGAACACACACATGCACAAACTGAACCTATACATGCACTAAGTGGAGAGAGAGTGGGCTGCCCGTGACAGGCACTCCGAGCGGTTGGGGGGTTTGGTGCCTTGCTCAGGGGCACTTCGGCAGTGCCCAGGAGGTGAACTGGCACCTCTCCAGCCACCAGTCCACGCTCCATATTTTGGTCCGGACGGGGACTTGAACAGGCGACCCTCCGGTTCCCAACCCAAGTCCCTATGGACTCTGCTACTGCTGCCCCCCAAAAAACAAACAAAAAAAAAAAAACTCATGACTTTGCAGATAACATCAGCGACGTGTTCCGGGGCTATAATCAACTTGTCTTGCATAGTAACATTCATTATGATGACAACTTTATAAGGTTTATGTTTGTTTATAAATGTAGCCAAGCAACAAATGTTTTGTGCAGTTTGTCTCTAATACTGTGGCTGCTCAGAGGGTCTCCGCTGCCTGCTGTAGGAGATCAAAGGGCACGCGTTGTCTGTTTACTTAAGAGATGACGAAAGGATGCCACCGAAAGAGCTAGAGTCTAAAAAACACAAAAACTGTGCCAATTTGGCAACATTTTAGATTTGAGGCAGATGATAAGGGTGACCCGATAAATGAAGATGAGCTGACGTGTAAAGAGTGTTGAAAAAAGATCTAAGCAAAAGGTTATATTGCAAATCAACACAATCACCTGCATAAGTACCATTCCCTCCTGGCTACACAAATGGGGTCGCAGCGAAAGGGGGAGGGGGACCCTCTACCTCAACTGCTGCTAAAATATTATTTATAAGTATTCAGTGTTCTGAAGGTTGAATGGTTGTTTTGTTTTGATAAATAAAAACACGATTGTGTCCTTCAGTTGATTGCACTGTTGACTTCTTGTCCTTCTGCTTCTTCTTCTCCTTATTTAACCTTGTGTATTGGCGGTTAATGCAGCATTACCGCCACCTAGTGGATTGGAGGGGCATTACACCTATAATGGGCTTTAATTGGAAGAAATAGCTCAAATGTGACCCCCAGTGGTAGAATTTGGTATATAATTAGATACATCGATTCGCTTTGATATTTGGCTTTAAATCAAGTCGACTATAAAACCAGCACAAGCCTATATCATCACTCATACTAAAAGCAAACAATTTCAGACAAAACTGAGATGTCATTAACCTAAACATCTAATTTGCATATTTACAGATAGACAAGGAAAAAATGTCAAGATTCCCTAAACATTATGAACACTCTTACCTTTTGCTGGTGGCAAACTTTTCCGACCAAGATTTAAAGAAGACACATGTCTTGGTATCAAAACGCAGGGGCAATATCTTCATTCAGACTGATCAGCCAATCTACGACCCAACTCAGACAGGTAAAAGCAAAGTCAATAAATGTGCAGAAATGTACAACAATTTGCAATAATTCTCCACTTTAACAGATAATTAACAGTGATTGCCTTTAAAGACATTTTACATTGATTATCTCTCTTCTAGTGAAATACAGGATATTCACTCTTGACCACTCATTCAGGCCTCATGACGAAGTGTTCCAGATATCAGTATTTGTAAGTACATACATTTTCTATAGGAATAAAGGGGACTTTGACAGTTATGCATAAATGATTTCTATGATTTGATTTCATAATTCATGCTTCTATTATTTCATGATAGAATGCTGCTGGAAACAGAGTAATTAAGTCCCTTAAGACTGCAAACGGAGGAATTCTCCAGGACTCATTCTTCATTCCCGATGTCTCTAAGTACGTTAAAACAGATTCACAGTTAACTGCGTCTATCATAACAGCACAAGCAAGTTTGGCATACCATTATAACGCATGTATATTTTGTTTACAAAGAATGGGCACATGGAAGATTACAGCACACTATGTAGACGATGAAGCAAATGTTGCTTCCCGAGAGTTCAAAGTCCAAAAATTTGGTAAGCTCATTTGATTTAAATGTGTTTTTTTTATTTTGTCCTTCTAAAAACACGTTTATTGTTACACTCCCTAGTTTTACCAAGTTTTGAGGTGAACATCGCAATGGAACAGCGCTATGTTTTATTGAGTGCTGAACAGTTAAACTTCACCATCTCAGCAAGGTAAGTGTTAACTTAAGAGTACAGCAAAAGAAACGTGTATTTTGACGTGATATGTCTATACTACGACGAAACACATCAGCTCTGGTGTTGATACTTACGTTGGCATTCCATGGGTTGAAAATCGCTCAACATGCCATCCACTGTTAAGGCCTCCCCCTCTGCCCAGTGGTGTAGTGGAGGGTATACGCAGGTATACTGGGTATATAAGCCAACTTTTTCCAAGAGTACCCAGCTGCAGACAAGATGGCGGACAAGGGCGCCGCCATATATCTAATCCATACCGAAGTCCATACCGGAAGTCAATCTTCTTTGTGTCTACAATACTGGAAGTCCATACCGGAAGTTCCATACATACTGGAAGTCCGTTTTTTCCCCAGAAGTCGGTTTTTAAGTCTGTCTTTTTTGTATTATTTATTTTAGCAATACATTTACGAACTCTGAAGCAACCAACAATTATAAATATATATATATATTATAAAATAAATAATAATAATAATAATAATAATACAATTATTTCAACAATTATTTTAAATACAATCATGTTTTGTTTGGAATTTCGTTTAATGTATGCTATACGAAGTTATTACGACATTTCATCACTAGACTTGTGCCTTTTTTCAGGTTTAACCGGTTCGATCCGGCTTAAGAGCCCCAGTCGGTTTAATTTACGGCAACCGGCGAAAGTGGGGAAAAATTTTAATTTAATTTTTAATTTAATTTTATATACTTTATTAATCCCCGAGGCAATTTTTCACTCTGTTTGTCAATTACACACAGGTCCGAACACACACATGCACAAACTGAACCTATACATGCACTAAGTGGAGAGAGAGTGGGCTGCCCGTGACAGGCACTCCGAGCGG